CAGCACCCATTGCCACAATGTCGGCAGCACCCACTGCCACAATGTCAGCAGCACCCACTGCCACAATGTCAGCAGCACCCATTGCCACAACGTCAGCAGCACCCACTGCCACAATGTTGGCAGTTCCAGCACTGCTTTGCACATCCCGGTTTGTGCAGGTGTTTGCTGAAGTCCCCGGTCTCCTGTTTCCTTTGGAGTTTGGCCCACATACACCCATTATTCCTGCCCCTACCACAGCAATAAAGTTGTATACAACGGGTTACGAGCAGGAGGTAACCCACGGCTCACTTCATGTCTGAGAATATTCAATACAAAGATCGGTTTCAGAGCATGTCTGCAAAGCCAAGAACTCGTTCACAGCCAAGGCCAGGGAAGGGCTGGAGGAGCCTTCCTGGGCTGAGAATTCTGGAGAGGAAAGGTCCTGGGGAGGGAACACGGCCTGAGCAGGGCTGGGGCCATGGGGCACAGCTCTCTTTACTGATTCCTTATGGATGGAGTTAGTGCACATTGCAGGAGAACGTGTCCTGGGCATCCGAGATGGAGGAGCTTCAGAAATAGGCAATGCAGTTCTGTTCACCTGCGTTCCTCTTCTTAAGAGCAGAGCTGCTCCTGTCTGTGTGACCAGTTGTCATACACCCACCTCACCAGTCTACAGCACAGCGAATGAAACTCTTTAGATCCTGACATGTCCTGGCAGGGTTCATTCAGGCCACAGCTGTCTGAAACTGCAGCCTGTCCAACCCTTGCTGGAACAGCCTGACGTTCCTGATCGAGGCAGGAAAAACGCTGCTGTAGTTTTTTTAATGCTAGATGAGAAAGGCACAAATAAATGCTTAAAGTATTAAGGTTGACAAAAGAGAAACTAAGTTTTTCTAGCAAGCACCCTTGTTGATTACTTAGTTCAGCAAAAACACATACACTGCTCTGTATCTGGGGTTTTGGGGAAATAATTCACTAGGAGAGGAGAGGATTTCTTCCCTCTCTGCCTGTCCAATGCTGTTAAATAAGGCATTTACAGATGCGCTGGCAGCAGAGCTGCCGTGATTCTGGAGAATCAAGGATGCTGGTTCATGAAGTTCGATGTTTTCATGTACAATCCCATCCCGGTGTGTTTCAACACGAGGTCTGACACATTGTGCTTTCTGAGACCAGGCCTGCACTTACCGATGAGCTCCTTGTTGCGCACGTCCAAGGCCATGTTCCTCAGCGCCGTGGCCACCGAGGACACCACCCGGTCGTTGTCCATCCGCAGCAGCTCCACCAGGATCGGCAGCCCCTTCTCTTTCCTCACTGCAGCTCGAATGTACGCTGCGAACTGTAGAGACCCTGGTTACTCACAGATTACCACGACATCCTGACTGAAACCATCTCTTAATAAACTGTCATTCTTGGGTATGTTATGGCACATTTTCCAAAGAGAAGTTGACAAGTTAAATGAGCGTCTTTCCTGTTATTATAAAGGGTTCCTCTGTTGTTTTTATTGTTTTTCACGTTCCTTCCAAACACATTGCAGTATCTTATTTCAAACCAGCTAAAACACATTAGGATGAAGAGCTGGAATTCCCGTACCTTCCAGTTGCCCGCAGAAAGGTTCTGGAGCGACCCCGCGGAGCCCTCCAGCGTGGCCGGGTTGGAGCTCTCGGCCAGGAGCGTCAGGTACGGCTTCACCACAGACGGGTGCCACAGCATCTCCACCCCTTTGGGAGACTTGGAAAATCCCGGTATAGGGCCCACGCCATCCCACTGGGAAACAAACGTGCATTTGTAACTACGTGGAACCTCGACATTTGCATTCAACACACGACAGCTTTTCCTCAAGCTGCGTACTCCCCACCGTAGCTGAACTCCAGCTGCTGTGTCTGTAACACAAGGGAAGCACAAACCTGGTCCTCCTGAGACGTTTTTTTTTTCTTCTTCTTCTTCTTGCCCCAGCAGCTCGGCTCTGCGTCCTTGCTGGGCGACTCCTTCCCCAGCAAGTCGTCCAGCTCGTTGATCCCCAGCAGCCGGGCCTGGGGCACCTCCAGCTCCAGGCGGTACGAGAGGTTCCTCAGGGTGCACACGCAGTTCTCCACTGTCTGGAACCAAACCAGAGGTGCCATGCAATCGTTACCTTCTTACACAGTCATAAAGCAAACCAAACAACTGGGGTAGAGCTGAAAAGGCATTAAAAGGCATTTGGAGCACAAGCACCAAGTTCTAATTCTGGGCCATGGGCACGGCTTCTCCTCTTTCTCTGGGGAAGCTGCAGTCTCCAATATCCTCAAATATGAAAACATTTATAAAAGTAACCTCTACTATTGTGGCTTGTTTTTTAGTGTTCTGAAAATGAAAATCACAAGAGCTTATGATTATTTAGTTACAGAATGAATACTTCAACACTGATGAGAAGCCCAGGCCAAGTCATGCTGCGTTATGCCACAGAACGTGACTGCATCAGTGATGGGGTGGGACAGGAAAGCAGCTGAGCTGAGCCCCTCGCAGTGCTCAGTTCTGCTGCACAGACCCCAGAAGATCCCATCAGAAAGGCAGTTCAGTGCTAAGCATCGCTGAGCTGAGGCGTGCACGCACCTTGCTGTCGTAGTCTGACGTGTTCACACACGTGTGGATGACGTAGAGCAGGGAATCAACCAGCCCTTCGCACGTCCGCATCTGCTTCCGAGCCTCTTCGCCCGCCGAGCTCAGATTCCTGAGGGGGAACACGGTGTATTCACACACAGACACACGTGGAGTCTGCACAGGGTTTTGTACAGCTGATTGGTCACTGAGAAGTTGAAAGCAAGTGCAGCATTTTGTGCAGCAGCCCACCCCCGTTCCTGTAACATAAACATGATCAAAACTGTGGCTCTGAGATCGCGTTGACTCGTTGACAAAAGCACCGCACGCAGAACCCATCCCACAGACTGCTGCACTAATGAAGCAAAAAGAGCCTGCAGGACAGTGCTACGTGTAATTGATA